CAGACAACCCGGCTCATCACATTTTACAACCGACAAGAATAACGATAGGTTCAGCAAACGTTTTCCCAACAAACGGGATTCAAAAGACAAGTCTCGCCCACCATATTCATGTCGCATATGCCGTGACCGTGGCCTGACATCGTGGCACTATCATAAAGATTGCCCTCATAAACCAACCGTACCACAACCGGTTGTCACACCAAACATTGGTGATTCAAGTCAATCAACCGATACCTCTAATCATTACATACGTCCCCAAACCATGGCATCAGCAGCTGATGTCAAAAGCATAATCTTAATACCGGGACGTATAGGGAATTTCGAATTATCTGCTTTTGCTGATCCAGGTTCAACAGTGGATCTAATGCCACTCTACGTAGCAAAACATTACGGCTTCCAATTAACTTTCGCCGATCAACAAGCGTATCACTTGCTCGTGGATCGATACGTACCGTTGGTGAAGTAACATTTAAGCTAACAATTAATCAGATGACACGTACTATGAAAGCACAAGTACTTAACGGATTCGAGTATACACTTCTCATGTCTATCGACTCTCTTGGCCGTTATGGTGTCATCATCGATACACACTCTAAAACCGTATCATACAAATGGTCAAACAAAATACACCCATTCTCAAGGTCAACCGGTCATCATTGCAATTATATGGCCATTCAACCAACAACAAACCGGTTGCCTACCATACCTAATAAAAATGTGGATCAACTCATTCACAAATATTCACAAATATTTGCCGCCGACTCTACTGACTTAGGCCGCATTAAAATTGAAGAGCACAGAATCGTATTGACTGACAATAAGCCTACAGCACAGCGCCCGTACCGTCAATCATTTCCAATGGCAGCTGAAGCTGCCCGCCAAGTGAAGGACCTATTACAAAAAGGACTAATTCGGGAAAGCGTGAGCCCTTATGCTGCACCGATCACTTTGGCTCCTAAGAAAGACGGCACATATCGTTTGTGTGTGGATTACCGTCGACTCAATACGAAAACTGTCGCCGACAAGACCCCATTACCGGTTATCGCTGACGTCATTGACCGTCTCCAAGGATCAACTGTATTCTCAAAATTGGATTTCGCTTCCGGTTATTGGCAGGTCGCCGTCTCACCAGAAGACATACATAAAACAGCATTCGTCACCCGCGACGGACACTATGAGTGGACAGTCCTACCTTTCGGACTCAAGAATAGTCCCGCAACTTTTCATCGAGTAGTGCATAAGATTCTCGGAAATCTCCATAATAACGGTGTCATATCATACTTGGATGACATCATAATCTACTCATCATCACTGGACGAACACAACCGATTATTAAACGAAGTGTTTAACCGGTTGTCCTTAAATAATGCCCGACTAAAGAAAGAAAAATGTGAGTTTCTCAAACAATCAATTGAATTCTTAGGCCATATCATCGATGGTAAAACAGTACGTCCGCCGGATAGTAAAGTCAAAGCCATACTAAACTTTCCGATACCGACTTCTCAACAAGATGTTCAACGATTTCACGGTTTGGCAAACTATCTCCGCGAATATATACCCGACTTTGCTTCAGTTACCGCACCATTGACAACACTTATGAAAAAGTCAAAAGCTAAAGAGTTTAAATGGCTTGAAATACATCAAGAGTCATTTGACAACCTCAAGAAACTAATGGCTTCCGAACCGGTACGCGGGATATACAACCATAGCCAACCGGTTGAACTCCACACCGACGCTTCCACAATCGGTATCGCTGGCATACTATTTCAAAGTGGAAAACCGATCGGCTATTACTCCCGAAAATTGGCCGATGCTGAAACACGATACACTGTAACCGAACTTGAATGCCTGGCCGTTCATGACGCCATCCGTTACTTTCGCATATATCTAGAAGGCGTTCAATTCAAGTTATATACTGACCACAAAGCACTCAAATGGCTCATTAACTTCCAATCAACGAAAAAACGACTATTTCGTTGGTCAGAAGAGTTGAGTTTATATACTTTCGAAATCATCCATAAACCGGGTAAACAAATGGCTCACGTGGATGCCTTGTCCAGAGCGCCCGCCAATTACTTCATACGCGAAGCTATTATACATCAACACCAAAAACGCGATGCCGACCTCAAGTCTACATATGAGGAACCGGTACAAGTGATTACTACAGCTGGCAACCACCAACCGGTTGTCTCATCACAAAGTCGACCAACTTTCACATCAAACGATACCGAAATACTTCAGACTATTATAAAGTATGGTCGAAAACTCACTATTATCCCTCCAAGTCTAGTATATCCTCTACTAGAAACAGCTCATGACAACAGTGGTCATCCTGGCATACGGATAACCACTAAACAAATTAAAATACAATATCATTGGCCAAATATGATACATAACATTAAAGAGTACGTCAAATCGTGTCCAACATGTCAATTGGTTAAGGTATCCAATCATGCAACCTATGGTCAACTACAACCATTGCCTACTCCCGATCAACCGATGAAACTAATTGCAATGGATACTATGGTCATGGGTAAAGAGACAAACGGTAATCAATACCGGTATATACAAGTTGTAATTGATCACCATTCCCGTTACTTGTGGACAAAAGCTACACCAACAAACACTTCATCTGCTTGTATATCATTATTGGGCGACATAATTAAAATAACCGGTTGTAAACCCGACTCTCTGTTAACCGATAATTTCAAATCGTTTAAGTCTAAAGATTTTTACAGATTTCTAACTAAACGTGATATCAGACACCTCTATACATCCACATATCATCCGCAGTCTAATGGGACGAATGAGCGAGTAAACAGAACCATCAAAACAGGATTATCAATGGCATTAGTGGCTAATCCGCGACGCAAATGGACAACTTTGCTCAAGGAAGTCACTATGAACTACAACAACACGGTACATACAGTAACCGGTTTCTCGCCAACATTTCTTATGTATGGAAATGACAATCATAATACGCGAGTGGAACTAACGGATGCTAGAAAACAGGCCAAACATAATACCGACCAACACAAAGCCAAAGCTAAAGTAGCCTACGATCGACAGCACAAACCGATTGACCTAAAAGTCGGATAACTCGTCAAACGTCGCATTCCATCTAACCATCCGGATCTCAAGAAACTGTCCGCAAGATTTGAAGGACCATTCATTGTCATGGCTATCCCAGGACCCGTCAACGCTTCTATACAACAATACAACCGGTCAACTGATCCATTCCTGGTCCACGTCGGTCAACTCGAGCCATACTACCTCCGCGACCAGTCTTAAAGCGCCGGGGAGTGTAGTGAATATGCTTTTAATTAGCATAAATTTATTGAAATATTTTTATTACCTTTTAGTTTTGCATTTATTTTATCATTTATTTGTTTATCTATTATTTTGCAACTATTTTTGGATTAATATTTCTATTTTCAATTAGACCCTAAACTATATACAGTATTTTATTACCCGATTCTCTGAACAACCGTTTGTTGCCTCCAATCTATTGGCGCCGACCTGACAGTTATCTGCCGCTACCACTAACTGTTCAAAAGTCATTCAATTTAGCCAATAGCTACCCGTCCTCTCTCACACAACCGGTTGTCCAAAAAGATCTATAAATACTGTAGGCTTTTACACTTACATTGGACAGTAAGACAGTCAGTCAGACAAACAGTAACTACATATCGCATACTAAGCGCATACTGACCTCTCAGTTAGTCTACTACTCAATATAGAGTTATACCATTACTATAGCACTCAACATATGTGCTCTACAATACTGTACTTCAAATCAAACCATTGTATTCAATCAAATATTAATTGTGTTTAACTAATAAAAGTACTATTCATTGAAACTGTCTTAACTACCATTCATTCACTACTATCACTATTACTGTCCCAACCGATAGTTGAAGATATATCAAGAATCTCAAGACATCTCAACCGGTTGTTCCCAACATTGGCCTACAGTTCCACAATCAAGTAAATCAAGAGATAGGAAGACATCATCGGCACGTACGGATCAACTCCTGCCTTACTTCGGCACCACAACTGCAAGTGATCATCATATATACCACTTGATTGGTCTCATAACGACCCGTCAGGTGATAACAAACTAGTGGTTAAGTAGATAACTGGTTGTAGGTCTCATACCGACCCACGCTAAACAACCAGCGCCTCCTTAATCACCCTCTAGTAGTGATCTAATCTCAACACAGACACTACACAATTTTTTAAAAAAAAATTATTAGAAATATAATTACTATAATCTATTGTTAATGTTAAAAGCAGGGACTAAAAATTTTTGAAAAGCATATTGAAAATATTTAATGTAATTATTGATAAAAATTTAATAAAATTTTTGCAAAATTTCCTAGATTATACTTATATTTAAAAATATATAAATATCCTTACTAACTCATTTAAACATATAATTAATAATTTAGTAAATTGTTTATTATAATTTAACGGTAACAATAAATTAAATAAATTATTTATAATATATATTTTTATAATTAATATAAAAGTTTTAAAAAAAATAATTAAAAATAATTATAATGTTATTTTTTAATAACAATTCATCTTATGAAATAATATAATTAATTTAATTGTAAGTTTTAATTATTATAAAAATAATAAAATTAATTTAATTGTAAGTTTAATTGTTATTAATATTTTCTTTTTTATATATTCTATATTTTTTTCTATTTGTTTGGTTAAAATATAAATGTTTTAAAAAATGTTATATTCTTAAGCATCTATACTTTTATTTTTAATTAAAATTTTTTTTTATTTTATTTAGTAGTAAAATAAACTTATTTTTTATATTAGTACATACATGGGATACCATACCCACCCATTTTTTTCCTACCCCTACTCACCGCTTACTTAACTCATATCCTATTGAGACACGTAATCATGTATTTTTGAAAATAGAAAAAAATTAATTAAAATTAAAAATAAAATCTGTATTTGTTTTAAAAATTATTGAAAAAAATTAGTTTCATATTTACAGGCATTAAAAACATTTTTCTTAAATTAAAAATCTATAATCAAAATGTTTGTATAAATAAATATTATTATTTTTTTGTGATTTTCTTAACTATTTTTTTTATTGTTGTTTATTTTATTTATAGACAAAATGTTTTCAATGTTTAGTTTGCTATCAATTTTGATGATTATTACTGTATTTAATGGCTGCTTATGTAAAGATACAGAAAAAGGTTTTTAAGGAAATAGTTTTTAATTAATTTTATTCTCTCTCTCTCTCTCTCTCTCTCTATGTTTGTCTCTCTTTCTGTCTCTCTTCATGTCTTTCTTTATGTCACTCTTTCTGTCACTCTTTCTGCCACTCTTTCTGTCACTCTTTCTGCCACTCTTTCTGCCACTCTTTCTGTCAATCTTTCTGTCAATCTTTCTGTCAATATTTCTGTCAATCTTTCTGTCAATATTTCCGTCAATCTTTCTCTATGGGGCCTCGGTGGCCGAAAGGCTAAGTTGTCGGCTTTCGAGTACGATAACCCGAGATCGATACCCGTTTGGGCCACCTAAGTATGTTCGGGATTTTTAACGCGAGGAAACAGATAATATGTGTACTCAGAACTGTCCACATATATAATGCTGTCCTATCGTTAATAGGGGTACTCCTCTAACTACTGCACTCTCGGCGGTTATGAGTGCTATACACAGTATAACCAACAATACTGGAGAGAAACATAGTTTAAGGGTTCTCAAAACCCCGTGCATGCAATCATTGTAAAAACGGGGGATATAAATCATGGATATTGTCAATCTTTCTGTCAATCTCTCTCTCTCTCTCTCTCTCTCTCTCTTTCTTCCATTTTTTTCTTATTTATGTTTTTAATTATACCTTCATTTTATTTATTAAGCAATTTATTTAGACATTAATTTAATTTATTTTTATTTAATTAATGTTTATTTATATTTTAATAAAAATATTTGTCAGTAAAACTAAGTAAAGTTAATATACTAAAATTTAAAATATTTTTTATAAATAACGTCAATTAAATATCAAAAATTTTTTAATAAAAAATAAGTTATTTTTATATAGAGTTTCTACCGGGAAGGAAAGTTCCCTAATTTGCCCGAACTTTATCTTTAAGTTATCAAAAACTTAATTCTTTTTAAAAATATATATTAAATAAATAGATAATTATTTTAAAATTATTAAAAAAAATATATATATATATCATTTTCCTAATTTAGTTATCCTAATTTTAATTTTTTTTTAATAATATAAATCTTTTAGCTTTTATTTATTATCAATATACTTATTATTAATTATTATTAATTATTAATTAAATATCTATAGTTAATAATAATTTTTTTTATAATTATTATTTATTATTATAACTATACAGCAGCTGCAGCTACTGTTACCATTAAATGCGAATCAAATCCATGGCCTAAACTACCGGTTCTCAGAGATTCAGAGTTGAAAGAAAAAACCAAATTAATGTCACTGAAAAAATTGACGAAAAAAAATCAGGAAAACATTAAAAAACTGGTCAAATGGTTTCAGGATTATAGTCAACAATTGATTCAACAGGATCAATTAGATTATCTAGGTAGTGTTTATGAAAAATTATCCCAGGACCTGAATAAACATGAACTAGGTGCATTGGCTACAATTGGTAAACTAGGTGATGATGATACGAAAATTATGCACCTAGCTCAAAATAATGAATTTCATACTGGTTGGTTAAAATATTTGGACAATTATATGAGGGATAATTGTACAGTTGAATCGTTCAATGTTACCAGTGACCTGGGTGAATTGAAAGAAAAATTATCGGAAATTAGACAGAAATTGTTTGAAACGTTGCAAAAGTTTATCGATGGCCAGGAATTGGATAAGGATAGACAGTTTTGGACAGATATAGATAAAACGGTTAGTTTTATTGTGTATGTGTGTGTATATATGTGTGTATGTGTGTGTATGTGTGTGTATGTGTGTGTATGTGTGTGTATGTGTGTGTATGTGTGTGTATGTGTGTGTAAGTGTGTGTATGTATGTGTGTGTGTGTGTATATGTGTGTATATGTGTGTATATGTGTGTATATATGTGTATGTATATGTATGTGTGTCTATATATGTTTGTTTTTTATAAATTATATATAAAAATTATAATATTATATATATATATATATATATATATATTTAACATTACTTATTATTATTATTTTTTTAAATAGGTTTTAAAATATTTAAAATCCCATTCGGATGTCGACAAAAATATCGATGAATTAAAGGACGATTCGGTTAAAGTGAAAACATTGCAGACATTGCTTATCGATAATGAAGTACTATTACGAGGTTATAATGGTTTCAATCAATAAGCAAATTGTTTATATAATTTTAAATTTTGCTTAACAATTGCTGAACAATAATAAAATTAAAAAATAAATAAATGTATTTCTTATAATAACAATAACAATAATAATTTAATTAATTTTTTCCACCCCTTAATAATTTATTGTATTTCTATTATAGATTACTAAATAAAATAAAAAATCTGATAATTAATTGTTTATTTTTAATTAATTAATTAATTAATTAATTATTTTTATAATTTAATAGATAGTTTGTTTAAACTATATTATTTTTAAATTAAACAAATATTCATTTTATTTTTGTACGTATATATAATTGTTAAAGCACCGACATATTAGGTGCATACATTTTATAAGCTTATGTATCATTTTTTTTTTGAGGGGGAGATTATATGGACCCAGATTGATGGTAATACAACAAAATAATTTATTTTCATATATTGATATATATATATATATATATATAAATATTTAGTTAATTTACTGAAAACAATAGTTAGTTGTATTTTTAATAAATAGTTTTATTATTATAATTTTAAATCAAAATAAAATTAATAACAAATAGTTAACAACTAATTATATTAGTAATTAAATTTATTTTTATTTTTTTGGGGGGAGGGACGGGAGTAATGTATACTAAATAATATACAAGTAATACTAAGGCATTTGTTGATTAATGATTGACTAAGTTTTATAAGCACTATAACCTCGATATAGTAGTTCCGTATCGATTAACAGAATCTGTAATGTTTTCAATTTAAGCGATTCGGGTGTCAATTGTTGAATAGTTTTGTCTAACAGTGATGTATTTTTCAAGTAATTTAAAATCTATGATAAAAATATTAATATTAAACAGTTTTTACATACACATACACATACACATACACATACACATACACATACACATACACATACACATACACATACACATACACATACACATACACATACACATACACATACACATACACATACACATACACATACACATACACATACACATACACATACACATACACATACACATACACATACACATACACATACACATACACATACACATACACATACACATACACATACACATACACATACACATACACATACACATACACATACACATACACATACACATACACATACACATACACATACACATACACATACACATACACATACACATACACATACACATACACATACACATACACATACACATACACATACACATACACATACACATACACATACACATACACATACACATACACATACACATACACATACACATACACATACACATACACATACACATACACATACACATACACATACACATACCTTTTGATCTATGCTTAAAAATACCCAAAACGACTGATCCTTATTGGATTTTTCTTCATCAAGATATTCATCGTATGCTTCAAATAATTTTTGTCTAATTTCACCCAATTGTCTAACCAATTGGTTCGCCGACATAGTTTTGGCCGCTGAATTATATGCCTCCAGTGGACAATCATTGGACAAATATCGATTGAAATATTTCAACCAATAACCAAGAAAACGTTGATCCTGTACCAAATATTTATGTTTAATACGATTGTCGACTAGTTTGCCAATTGAATCCAAATTGGCTAATTCGTACGTTCCCAAATCGTCCCCAATTTTTTTGTAAACCTCACCCAGGTAGTTCAATCCATGCAATTGACGTACATGTTTACTACTATACAGATGAAACCAGTCGACCAATTGTTGAATTAGTTGTTTGTTTTTGTCGGTCAATTCCGAATCGTCCATTGAATCCAATTGTTCGTATAATTTATTGTCCAAAACTGGCGTTTCGGGCCACGGGTTGTCAGTCGGACATTTCGGAGCTATAAATTTATTTATTTTAAATGAAAACTATTATTATTATTACATATAATAATAATAAATAATTATGTGTGCATGAATATATATTATTTATTTATTAATAATAATAATAATAATAATAATTAAGTTAAAGTAAATATTTGTAAACTAGTTTATTTTAATTAGTATTCAAAAAAAATTTCTAAATTTTAAATATATTTATTATATAAATATTTTAAAATTTTTAATATTATTATAATTATTAATACCATAATCTATAGCTACTAAATAATAATAAAAATAATAAAAGTCACTAAAATAATAGTATAATATTTTTCAAAAGTATATTAAAATCTATAATATTTATTATTTTTTTAATTATATTTATATATACTATTAATATATATATATAAAGAAAATGATTATTTTTAATACCTTTCTCTGCACAGATGTTTTGGTCATTAAATTCAATAATCATTAGTAAAATTGATAGCAAACTAATCAATTGTTTTGAATTTATCATCATTTTATTTTTAAAGGTTTTATATCTATTAGACAAAAATATATTGAAATAAAAAAAATAAAAAAACAATAATTCTATACTTTGAATATAATAATAACTGCAAACTAAAAAAATATTTTTAAAAAATCAAAATAATTAAGTCATATACAGTATGTAATTTTATATATGTTGTAAACAAATTATAAATAAACATATTGGAAAAAATGTATATGTATTTTATACATAAAAATATTTTAAGTTAAAATAAAATAATTAAAAAAATATTATTAGCATTAGACTAATAGTTAGAATAAAATTTTATTGATTAATAAATTATAGTATAATTCAGAATATTTTGTACAAAATTTAATAAATTAGATTATTATTATAAATAAAATAAAAAACATTTAAATTAATTTAAATTATTATTATAAAAAAACTAATATTAACACTAATTCTCTTTATAATTACTATAACCTCTCATTAGAAATTCAGTGTCGATAACCAGAAACTGTAATGTTTTTATTTTTAACAAATTGGGTACCAATTTATTAATAGCTTCATCGATAAGTTTTGATGAATTTTTATAGTAATTCAAAATCTAGAAATTAATTAGGGGAAAAAAATAAATAAAAATATATTTTTAATATTTTAGTTATACAGTATAATATATATATATATATATATTAATATAAATTTAGAATTTTATGTATAATATACAGGTATGGACAAAACAATCTGTTTGAGACCTAATATCTTAAAATCTACTGGATCAATTTTGATACTGTTTAATCGTAAATGTAGAGTATATAATTAAGATTTCATATAATTAATATAATTTTTTTTAAATTTAGTTATTTAAAAGTTACAATAATTTGAAAGTGAAAAGTTTTTATGTTTTACATTAATATCGTTACCAGCATTAAGGGTTGCTTCCATACATTTTATTAATTTTTTAAATTAATTTTCAAAAAATTACTTATATTATTTTTGAACACAATTTTAGTAATTTTTGTATAAACTAGATTATATAATCTACCTTTATTATATTACCAGTATCAAAATTGATCAAGTAGTTTTTTTTAAAGATATTAGGTCTCAAACCCATTTACAGATTGTTTTGTCCATACCTGTATATTATACATAAAAACCTAAATTTATATATATATATATATATTATATATATACCTTAGTTTGTATCGGTGCCCAAAACTCCCTGTCCTTATCTAGTTTTTCGCTATCGATTAACTGTTGTAATTTCGTAAACAATTTCCCACGGACAACCATTAATTGTCTAACCAATTGACTAGCATTGCCAACACTACTAATATTTTTATAAGCCTCTAGTGGACAATCATTTGTACCGTATAGATAAACATATCTGAACCAATAATCCAGATAGTTTTGTAATTGTACCAGGCTCAAATGTTTTTCAGTACTATTGTCCACAAATTCGTTGTTGTCGTCGACAATTGATATCAATGCCGTTTGTTCCGACGATTGTAAATAGTTTGCTAGTTTGACGTAAACTTTGGACAGATAGTCTAGATTTGTTGATTGTTTTAGACGTTTACAATATCCCAGTAGAAATTTCAATTTAGCTTGTATAGTTTGATTGATTTTTATGGTTAGCACCGTATCGTTTAATAGTTTGAATTGTTTGTACAAAATTACCGGCGGTTTGGTCCACGGGTTAGCCATATTACATTTGCTAACTACTTTTTTTTAAAATAATAATAATAATAATAATTTTAGATAAAAATAAAATAACAACTTTTATATATATATTATTGTATATATATATAGTATAATATTAATAAATTGAGTAATAAATTTTAAACTTTTTATTTAATTAGATTAATGTGTTTTTAATTTTTTTATATTTGATTTTTTTTTGAAACAAAAACATTAATTCATAATTAATACAGTACTATATATAATATATATATTATATATATAATTGTTTGTACAAAATTACCGGTGGTTTGGGCCACGGGTTAGCTACAGTACATTTGCTAACTATTTTTTTAAAAATAATTTTAGAAAAATAAAAATAAAAAAATTACTTATATATATATATATATATATACCTATTATATTAAGAATTCAATTACAGGTACTCGACTTATTAGTTTATATAATAAATATGATTTTGGATTATTGAAATAATTGCCGTTTGAAAATGCAAAAAAATATATACCCCACCCTGACCCCTTCCCCCCCAAGATTTTTTTTGAGACTTTTGTAAATTTCACCCCAGCCTTCCCCTAACTCCTTAAAATTTTTATTTAATTAGATTTAGTGTTTTTTTTCAATTAATATTTTATAAACTGATTTTATTTTAAAACAAAAATATTATTTCAAAATTAATATCATATATACATATATATATATATATATATATATACAGTATATATATAAAGTTATATATATATATATTTATTATAAAATTTTGATTAAAAATAATAATATAAACAAACAAAAAAAATTTTAATTATAATAATAATAATAATAAATACCTTTCTTTATAATTGAAGATTTATTGTTGCCATTAATTACAGTAATTATTATTAAAACTGATAGCAAACTAACCAATTGTTTTGAAATCATTTTTTTCTATTTATTTTTATTTCATTTTTTTATAAAAAAAATATAGCAATACTTTGAACACCTATAGCTATAACTAAACTATTAATTTATATAAAAAATATTTGAGAAATATAATAATTTTTATTAATAAATACTACATTTTGTATATTTACAGTTATATAGAAAATTTTTGTGAACATTAAATTTTTTTGAGTACAATTTTTACAGATATAAAAGTTTTAACATTTTACAATTATGTTCATTAAAAGTTATTTTTAAAATAAAAAAAATATAGTTTTCTTTAGTAATAATTATTTTCTAGTTACAAATTTTTAATATCCCATTTATTTATTTGAAATAATAGTAATTTTTGTTTTATTTTTTTAAAAAATTATTTTTACATATTATATATTTTTAAATCACACTATTACATTTTATAATATATGTAACTAGACAATAATTGTATAATTTAATAGATTAGATTATTTCTAAATTGTATAAATATATTTAAAATATAAATGTATACAAGATTTGTATAGACAACTGTATATTTTAGTTTATATATTAGAGTAAATATCCCAAACAGGTTTTAGGTTTGGTTTCTATTCCTAACACAATTTGGGTTTAAATTTTTAACTTTTAAAATAACATTTTATTAGTTATATTTTTGCTTTATTTAAACCTAATATTATTATTAATTTTACTTTTAATCGTTAATACAATTAATAATTTTTATTTACTATTTTACTACTAATTATATAAAAATTATGTATTTATAACTAAACATAATAATAATAATTATTATTATATAAAAAAAGTATTTATATAAAAAATATCTCTATTATAACATTTAACTTAATTACGGTTTATTTGATTATATAATACATAAACACATTGGAAAAAAATTCCAATTAAAATTACATGTATATTTTTAAAAAAAAAACATTATTACAAAATAATTATTATTATAAAATATTTTTAGTATATATATATTAATAAATTAAATTTTTATAATTATGTAGGATTTAAAAACAAGGTTTAACAAAATTATATAAATAAATAATAAAACAAATCTATTTAAAATTTTAGTTAAAATACTCGACCCATAGTACTGTAGTTAGTGTTATACATACACATGTATATGTATATGCAAATTATTATTTAATTATTGTATTATAATTAATGTTATAAATATAGTTTTTTTAAAAAAAAATCCTAAAAAATGTCAAGTTTACTATAATAATAATAACTTTTACTATAGTAATAATAATTATTATTATACATGTATTTTTTAATAGTTAAATAACTACACATACACATGTATATGAATATGCAAATTATTATTTAATTATTGTATTATAATTAATGTTTTAAATATATAGTTTTTATAAAAATACTAATTTTAAATAATTGTTAAGTTTCTATAATAATAATAATAATAATAATAATAATAATAACTTTTACAATAGTAATAATAATAATTATTATACATGTATTTTTTTCTTAATAGTTAAATAACTAAATAAAAACACTACAGTATATACTTGTATTATATTAAAATAGCTATTATAATATGACAGTATATTATTATTGTAATTTATTTTTAACATAAATATCAATAATAATAATGATAATAATGATAGTAACAATACTAATAATTATGATGATAATAATAATGATAATTTAATAGTAATAAAATTTATTTATATTTTTTCCTAAAAAAAACTTATAAACAATTTTTTTCCGATAAAACAAAATATACAATATTTTTTAGGCAAACAAAACAACAACAATAATAACAATAAAATAATTAAAATTAAAATTATATTAAATTTTGAAATAAAATAAATTATTTAGTTTTTTTAAAAAAATTATTGTATACTAATGTTTATAAGTATAGTTTGTTAATAAAAATTATATATATATATTTTTAAATAATTAAATAATATATAAAATAAAAAATATAAATAATCTTATAATACTAATAATAAGTATATAATAATATATTTAATTTTAATTTTAAAATAGACTTAAAAAACAAATTATTTTCTCAAAAAAAATAAAATAAATTATGTCTAACTTTTCGCCGACAAAATTATTGCCCGAAAAAATTGGCTACAAATGGTCGGCCTATCATTTATATCGTATCGGTTTAGCGGGCCATCCATTAGCCGGAGTTACCGAAACAGATGACCAGTTTATAAGTCCATCGCCGATGACTAGACATTGGATTAATCGGCCGATACTGATGTTTACCGTTACGTTTGTATACGTAATTCAACGCGTAATCTGTATGTTTACCGACGGCCACAATTGGCAACTGTTGGCCCAGTTGGGCGATTGGGGCTATCTATTGGGCACCGGTAGGCTGAATAATATTGTATCCCTATTGGTAGCCCTATTGGTACTGTTATCGCAGCTAACCTTATGGTATAATCAATATGTACGGCAAGTTCAGCCTAAATATATGCGCGTATTTCTAATGCTATCGGGCCTACAATGGACACCCCAGAGCTTGGGTATGGTTGATCTCAGGGAAATAAAGGTTAGCAAAAAAAATATAATTTGATAAAAAATAATATGGAAATTTCCTAGAAATTTTTTTTTTTTAAATTCTATCTATGGGTTAATTTTATCGATATTTGTTAACTTGTTTTGTTTATATTGTTTTTTTAATAAGTAATAATTAAATTTATCAAGTATTAGTATTTTTAATTTATTAATTAAATTAAATTAAACTTTTATATATATATACAGTATATATGTAGGGGTTGGGAATGGGGATGTAGTAAATATATATATATATAGTATTATATGTCTCATTAATATAGTATTACAATATCTATATAGATATGAGGGTGGGGTGGGGATACCAAAGTATAATAATATAGTTAAAATTTATATATAGAAATTTATTCCACTGATAAATATTTCTCTAGAAACTTTCACAGGGAATAAATTTTAAATAGAAATTTATTCCCTGAGAAAGTTTGTCCGTATAGAAACTTTCTCAGTAAATAAAATTAAATATAAATTTATTTTCTTATAAATATTTCTCTAGAAACTTTCACAGGGAATAAATTTTAACAGAAACTTTCTATTTGCTCTAACAGGTACTAAGTAAATGGATGCGATGGTCATGTCTAGTACATACGGTTAATGGTAACTATATTTTCCCCATAACATGTTTGATTATGGTTATGGTTGCTTATTTACAAAGTCTACCTGTATATTATGCGTGTGTATACGGTATACCTAATTGTCTATATTTTGGATTATTTCTACATTATCTATGGAATTGTATAGCATTTCAAATAACATATTTATCGATACTATGTTTATATTTGAAATTTAAAATCAAATCATTATATAGACAATTAGCTAAAATTATTAGACAAAAAAAATATCCACAAATAATACCGATCATAAAATCATTGGACCAGGTTTTTAGTGAAATTTCCGATTACAATGATACGTATTGGTCAAAATTTTTACTATATTTTTGGTTTTCATTTGGTTCAACTATTTGTGGTGTTGTCTATACACCCTTGTTTGTCCCATCGGATTTGTTAATAAAATTTGTATTTATCTACAGTGCATGTATGGCATCCCTGGTATTTTTGTTTATTATATTGATAACAGCATCGGTTAATATGTGTGCCAATAATGCCTATAAATTGCTAAATAATTATCAAGTTTTAGTTTAAATTTTTAAAAAAAAAAATATTATATAAATATTATTATTTATAATTTGTATATTTATTTATTTTTTATTAAATTATATTAGTATACAATAATTTGTTAATATAATTATTTTTTGAATTATTTTTTTTAAGTATACATATAATTATTGTTATTTAGATCTAATAAACTATAATACTGTAAATGTATTAAAATTAATTATATAATATTAATAACTATTTTTATTAAATTATTAAACAATTACAATTTTTTTTAATTATATTAATTTGTCTAGACATAATAAATACAAATTTTTTAGATTACGTTTATTATAAAAATAAAAAAATATATTTATATTTACTAGAAATTTTTTAATAATAAACTAATTTTTTAATAAATATTAAATAAAATAATAAGAATTATATATATATATTTCAATATACATTAGATTTTTTAGATTTTTTATTTATTTAAATTAGCGTATATATATAAATATTTAATTTAGTAGTTTATAATCAAATAATTTCTAGTAAATATAAATATTTATATTTTTGTTTTTAGATTTTTATAGTAAACATAATTTTTTTAAAAAAATAAGTATTTGTTATGTCTAGACAATTTAATAAAATTAAAATTTTGTTATTTTTTAATAATTTAATTTTTATATATATTATATGATTATTTTTAATACATTAACAGTATTAGTAGCTTATTAATCTAAATAACAATAATTATAATACTTTAAAATAATTGAAAATAATTATATTACTAATTATTGCATAATATACTAATACATATAATACTTAAAATTATATTTATATATATAGTAATTGTACTTAAATTTTTATTTTTTAAAAAAAACTATTATTGATTTAATGATGTATTAATATATATATATTTTTTAAAAACTATTATATTTAAGTAATTTATTTATAACTTATATATATATATCATATTTAATTTGATATTATATTATCTATTTGTTACAAAATTACTTATAAGTAAATTATATAAATTCATATATATGATATTACAAACCATATTATTATTATACATTTTTTTAATTATAAGTGTATGTATTTTAAATTAAGATTATTATTATTTTAAATAGTTAGTAAATTTAGTTATTTTTAAATAAAAATAAATTATACATAAAACAAAAAAAAAATATGTATCAAATTATTAAATTTATTATTATAATTGTTATCTACATATTTAGTTTACAATTTAAAGTAAACGGTAATTAAATTTAAAAAAAAATTTATTTTTAATATTTTATATTTATTTCATTGTAAATAAACTAATTTGTAAATTTCTATATAAAATACTAGTATATAATACTAATATTATAGTCAATTAAAAAACTATTTTGAATTATTTATAAAAAAATATATAAATATAATTATCAAGTAAATAGTATAATAATACTTTATATTTACAAAAAAAAATATTTTTAAAAAAAAAATAAATAATAAATTATTGATTTATTTATTACTAATAAATAAATAAATATTTTTTCCTAATAAATGTTTATTTGTTTGTTTATAAATAATAGTTATTTTAAACAACAATAATAAAAATAATAATATATTTATGATAAAAGTCTAATTAGAAATTTATTTTTTAATTTATTTTTAGTTTTTTTTAAATACAGAGTAAAAAAAATTAGATATTAGTTATTAGATTAAAAGTTATTATTTACTGTATTTTATTTATTTATCAATATATATATATACCGGTATATACCTGTATATATATATATAGCTAGTGGTGATACTATTAATATTGATAATATCGGTAATACCCTTCCGTCACGCAAACATGGTCTGAGCCTGTTTACAGCTATAGTATTTATTTCGGGCGAACTAGCAGGAAGTGGTATACTAGCCTATCCTAAAGGCATGGCCAGCACCGGTAGGTTTTTTTAAAAAATAAATAATCTTATTAACCATAAATTACAACAACTAAAATAAAAAGGTTGGTACGGTATGGCTGTACTATTGGTCAATGGTATGATTGCCTGTCTATCAGGTGTATGTTTGGCTAAATGTTGGCTAATCCTAGAGGAACGGTATCCACAGTTGAGACGTCCTCAGCGTAATCCGTTTGCATTGATAGGCTTGAAAGCTAATGGTAAATGGATGAGGTAGGTCAATTATATTTTTCATATAAAAAACAGCATTCACAAATTTTATAAAAAACCAAACCTAACCTAACCTAACCTAACCTAACCTAACCTAACCTAACCTAACCTAACCTAACCTAACCTAACCTAACCTAACCTAACCTAACCTAACCTAACTTAACCTAACCTAACCTAACCTAACCTAACCTAACCTAACCTAACCTAACCTAACCTAACCTAACCTAACCTAACCTAACCTAACCTAACCTAACCTAACCTAACCTAACCTAACCTAACCTAACCTAACCTAACCTAACCTAACCTAACCTAACCTAACCTAACCTAACCTAACCTAACCTAACCTAACCTAACCTAACCTAACCTAACCTAACCTAACCTAACCTAACCTAACCTAACCTAACCTAACCTAACCTAACCTAACCTAACCTAACCTAACCTAACCTAACCTAACCTAACCTAACCATATTATGAATTTTTTTTTGTAATTATTATATTAGTATTAATAATTATAATTTTTATTCTCGCACTTAAATTTATGATTAATAAGTTCTATATTATATAGACTATATATTATAGTTTTATAGTTTTATTTACACTGTGTTTATGTATGTGAGGTCAGGTATGTTATGCAAGATTAGAGTAGGTTTTTATGTGTTTTCGCACCTTTATTTTTTATCACTTTTAGCTCCGGTAACTCATAATTTAATTTAACCGATATATCTACCTAAAAAAAAATAATAATAAATAATCTAACTGTCCCATTTTTTCTATACATAAACCTACCTACATACCAACCAACCCCACACTTAAACAAACCCAGTTATCTATGTTCAGCCGTAATGGATCTGACATTTTTCGGTGCACCAGTAGTTTTCCTATTGATATGTTCGGATCAAATCCATGAACTTAGCCAACCATCCCGTCTACTCAAGCATTTGACTGTTTGCGATTGGATAGTCATATTAGGCCTACTATTGTTACCGTTTACACTATGGGGTTCGCCCGCCGATTGTTGGCCAGTAGCTTGGCTGGCACTGGCCACTACTGTTGGTGGACTTGTGTTTTTGTTGTTTGCTATCGGTATGGATGCTAACCTAACCGTCACAAACACTACTACCAACATTACTACTAACGGATCCATAGGTGTGGATGGCATACCCTATACCACTACTACTACTACTACTACACATCCCGGTCCTCAGGATTGGCGTAGTTTTTTCCTAGGGTTCGGTATAATAACGTTTGGTTTTGGCGGTGCAGCCGCTTTTCCGACCATTCAAACCGATATGACTGATAGGCTACAGTTTCCCAAAGCTATTTGTATTGCTTTTTGCGGTAACTATGATATACATGTATAATCACCCAGTTTTTGGGGAGTGGGGTGGGTCGGGAGGACAGTTATCTAATAATAATAATAATACTTTTATACTAAATATACTGTAGTTGTCATGTTTTTGTTTTACCTACCTGTCTCAATTGCCGGCTACTATGTCTACGGACAGTTGGTTACGGATAATATATTGCAATCGCTGTCCAAGGGTTGGCCTAAACAGACAGCTTCGGTATTATTTACCGTACATTTGCTGATGGCAGCGGTTATGCTACTGAATCCAGTGGCCCAGGAGTTTGAACATTGGCTAAATATACCCCAAAGTAAGTGGGAGGGGATGGGGGGGAGGTAGGACAGGGAGTCTATAATAATTATTACTATTTTGTAATTCAAATCAATAGATTTTACATACAAACGGTTGATTACCCGATCGGTACTAATGCTAAGTGTAGTATTTACTGGGCTATCGGTGCCCAAGTTTGGCAAAATTATGGACCTGTTAGGTGGATCCACCATAATGTTGATGGCCATGATATTACCCACATGTTTCTACCTGAGCTTAGTTAGCCAGCAACATGATTGGCCCGATTGTCCTAAAAGGTATGTCCAAAAAAATTAGTAATTTTTTTTAATTATTTTTTAATTATTTAATTTTTTTAAATTAGACAAATTAATATCAAACTTAAACTGTTTATGTTGTTAACCATTTGCATGGGACTGGTAGCTGGTTGTGCCAGTACCTATTTTGCTATTGTTGAACTAGTTGATCCCGATTCATTTATCTACCCGTGCTATCTACAATGTAATGCATGGATATTATAAAACTATTAAAAAAAACAATAACTAATTTACTAATTAAAAGTTTATTTTTAAAAATATCTATTTTTTTGATAGAAATATTATTATTTTATTTTTTTTTAAATTTTTTATATAACCATCTGTTTAATTATAACTACTACTACTATTACTAGTAATTATCTATTATTAAAAAATTATATAAAATAAATATTTTTTCTAATTAAAATTATTTAATTTGTTATAATTCGCCATTTTTTAAATTATATAAAAAATATTATTAGTATTATTATAATAATTATTATTTGTTTAGAAAATAATAATAATAACAATAAAATGTTAGCAAAATTTTTTGTTTATTATTTATCATCGTCAATTTTGTTTATAACAATAATTACTAAATGTATAAACTGTGCCAAAGATGATAAAAAAGACCCGGTACCAAAAAGTATAATAATAATAATAATTATTATTAATTTATTTAATTAATTAATTTTATTAAAATTAATTTTTTATAAGTTTTTATTTAAAATTAATTTTTATGAATCTCTATCTCTATCTCTATCTCTATCTCTATCTCTATCTCTATCTCTATCTCTATCTCTATCTCTATCTCTATCTCTATCTCTATCTCTATCTCTATCTCTATCTCTATCTCTATCTCTATCTCTATCTCTATCTCTATCTCTATCTCTATCTCTATCTCTATCTCTATCTCTATCTCTATCTCTATCTCTATCTCTATCTCTATCTCTATCTCTATCTCTATCTCTATCTCTATCTCTATCTCTATCTCTATCTCTATCTCTATCTCTATCTCTATCTCTATCTCTATCTCTATCTCTATCTCTATCTCTATCTCTATCTCTATCTCTATCTCTATCTCTATCTCTATCTCTATCTCTATCTCTATCTCTATCTCTATCTCTATCTCTATCTCTATCTCTATCTCTATCTCTATCTCTATCTCTATCTCTATCTCTATCTCTATCTCTATCTCTATCTCTATCTCTATCTCTATCTCTATCTCTATCTCTATCTCTATCTCTATCTCTATCTCTATCTCTATCTCTATCTCTATCTCTATCTCTATCTCTATCTCTATCTCTATCTCTATCTCTATCTCTATCTCTATCTCTATCTCTATCTCTATCTCTATCTCTATCTCTATCTCTATCTCTATCTCTATCTCTATCTCTATCTCTATCTCTATCTCTATCTCTATCTCTATCTCTATCTCTATCTCTATCTCTATCTCTATCTCTATCTCTATCTCTATCTCTATCTCTATCTCTATCTCTATCTCTATCTCTATCTCTATCTCTATCTCTATCTCTATCTCTATCTCTATCTCTATCTCTATCTCTATCTCTATCTCTATCTCTATCTATCTCTATCTCTATCTCTATCTCTATCTCTATCTATCATCTCTAATAACTACTAACAAATCTATACCTTATTTACACCCATCCCTACCCTAGTATGCCATGAGCTACCATGGGTTGAACGGCAGGACTGGGGTGCCCGTCCATCGAAACTAGAATCGCTACCATTCAGGCCACTACCTGTGCAACACGTATTCATACATCATACGGACAGTATGGCCGGCCAGTGTCTGAACAAAACACTATGTCTGGCGGCTGTCAAACAACTACAGGCCCACCATATGGATCAGGAAGGTTGGGACGATATTGGTTACAACGATATCATTGGCGGTGACGGTCGTATCTATATGGGTAGGCCATGGTTTACACCCGGTGTCCAACCCTTGGGTCTGGAAGATAAGTCCCTGACGTTGGCACTGGTCGGCCAGTACGACAACAATGAACCAACACCGGCAATGCTAGCCGTGGCACGTATGTGGCTGAACTGTACCCAGGGTCTGGGTGTATTGGCCGGGGACTATCAGCTACATGGACACAGTGACCAATCGTGTACCAACAGCCCGGGTCAACGTGTGTACGATACTATTAAAACGTGGCCACAGTTTCAATCGGGACCATTGGATACCTACCAGTGTCCGGATAGTAAAAAATCGGGCGGATCGGCTACTAAAAAACCAACTAAACCTACTGTTACTGCTACTACTACTACTGCTAAAGCTACTACTAAAGCTACAGGTGCTAAAAGTGGTGGTAAAGTTACTACTGCTAAAGCTGCCGGTGCTGCTACTACAACAAAAAAAGCTAGTATTACTACTACTACTACTACTGCTAAAAAAGCTAGTATTACTACTACTAAGCCTAAAAAGTAGATCAACTACTACTGCTAACTATTTTAAACTACCTGAGCGCTACTAATTGTTTAATGTACCTTATTTATTATATAAATAAATAATTATATATATATATTATATAATAATAATAATAATTTAGATTGTATTGTGTGTTAGATTGTAATATTTATTGAATAATTACTAAATAAAATATTTATTTATTTTTTTAAAAAAATAAACAATTAATTATAAAAATAATATTTAATATATCACGAATTCCTGTAAGGAATACGCATATGCATTCTATAAGTCGGTCTGTCCCACGAGGACATAGGTTCGAATCCACTATCCGCTACAAATTTTTTTTTTGAATTTTTTTTTCTTATTTAAGTTTATTTTTTAGGAAATTGAAGAAAATGGTGTTCAAAAATTAATTAAAAAAATGTTGAATTTTTTTTGAATTTTTTTTTGAATATTGATTTTTTATTTTTTTCGTTTTTAAGTTTATTTTTTGGGAAAATAGTAGTTTATTTTGTAATACTGAATCATTTGATACCCCACATGACTATAGTTGTTTATTTTGTCATACTAAATCGTTTGATACCCTACATAACTATAGTTGATTTTATTTTATCATACTGAATTTAATTTTTAACTATGATTAGGACTTCGTATGGAAATGCTTTCTAGCATTCTCAACTGGTTTTATTATGGATAACATTTAGGATAACCTAAAACACATTTGTCAATAAAAATAAAAATAATTAATAATATTATTATTTTATTTATAATAAACTCTAACAATATAATAATAATTATGTAAAGTATATTAATTAATTAATCTTAATTAATATAATTAATTTTTAATTTTTTAAAAAAGTAATATATCATAGTAATACTTATAATTTAATTTGTAATGTATTTAGTTTTTATTATTATTGTAATATTTAACACAAAAAAATGTTTTTATAAATTATTAATTAATTAAAATATTAATATAATTGTTATTTAAAAAAAACAAAACAAAATAATATACAGGAATTAAATGCAATAGTTATTACCGATTATAACTATATATATATAATAATAATCAATAATTAACAAAAAATAAACAAAAAATTTTAAAAACTAAATAAATATTTCTAAACAATTTTAATATTTAGTATTATATAATATTTATTGTAATAAAAGTAATTTTTATTTTATTTAACAAAAATATTGTTAGCTGACAAACTTATATATATTAATATAAAAAAATATTAATTTTTATTTCAGGTTTTATTGATTTATATATAAATTTATATATATATATATATATAAATAAATGAATTTATTTATTATTTTTATTATGCTAAACTATAATAAAATCAATAAATTAAATTTACTATTTACATTAAGCATACTAATAGTAATAATAATAATAATAAAAATGATAATAATAATAATAACAATAACAATGTTAATGATAGTCTAAAAATAATTCAAATTAGTACAAAATAAATTTTGTATAAACATACATAAAAAATATATATATGTATAATAATATAACGGTATAAAAAATTATATATAATTATTAATATATATTTAATGGTAAACTTATGGCCAACTTTATGGCCACAAAATTATTGCCGATAGACATGGCCTACAAATGGTCGGCCTATCATTTATATCGTATCGGTTTATTGGATGATAATCCCGGTGGGGCTGACTATCCCCGGAGACTATGGTTTTATCAGCCGTTACTTATGCTAACTGTTTGTTCAATATTTTCTTTGATTAAACTAATTTGTATATTAATTATCAACTCATCAAACAATAATAATTGGCTACAATTATCGGCATTAATGGGCGATTGGGGTCAACTGCTGGGCACCGGTAGACTAATCAGTTGTATATCATTGCTGATTGCCTTATTGCTGATACTATCGCGTCTAACCTATTGGTATAATCATCGATGGACGGGTATTCAGCCGACATTTATGCGGGTATTTATGATGATGTCGGGCCAGCAATGGTCGCCCCATAGTCTGGGTATTGATGACAACAATCACCGGGAGATACATAAGCTAACGGATAGGATGAGCCAATTGTGTCGGTTGTGTCGACTAAATTCAAACCTAATATTTCCCCTATTTTTTACAATAGTATCGTTTATACCATACGTGAAACGATTACCGATAATCGATGCCCTGGTCTATGGTATACCTAATTCACTGTATTTTGCTATATGTGGTCATTATATATGGAATTCAATTGCCTATCAATTAATCTATTTATTTATATTGTGTTTATATTTAAAATTAAAAATGCAATTAACGTATAAAAAACTTAGAAAATTAATTTCAAATAAACAACAAATAAATTCAAGAAAATTATTGGAATTAATGAAATTATTGGATAAATTATTTTCAGAAATATCCGATTATAATACAAATTATTGGTCAAAATTTTTATTATATTTTTGGCTAATATTTGGGTCGACAATAGTCGGTATGATTTATACCCCATTGTTTGTATCCACGGATTCATTAGTTAAACTAATTTTCATCTACAGTTCAATTACGTGTTTTTCATTGTTTTTATTTATAATATTGACGTTAGCGTCGGTCAATACATCAGCCAACCGATCCTATAAACTATTAAATCAATTTCAGCTATTAATTTGATTTTTTTCAATAATAATAATAATGATTTTTAGATAAATAATAATAATAAAAAAAATAATTTTTAAGATTAATAATAATAATAATAATAATTTTTAGATAAATAATAAAAATTATGTGTATTTTTTATTTATTTGTTTTAAATTGTTAAAAAAAAATTATAATCATTAAATAAAACATTTAATTTATTTATTATTATTATATTATCAATTATTTTGTTTGTTGTTTAAATAAAAATTAATCCAAGTATATTTATAGTTTAATTAATTTTTGTAATTAATTAATTCATTGTATATTTAAATAGCTCACTCACTCACTCACTCACTCACTCACTCACTCACTCACTCACTCACTCACTCACTCACCCACTCACTCACTCACTCGAATCAGTTTATAATTAAATAGTTTATGTTAAGATGAAAAAATTAATTTGCAAAAAAAATATTAATAATAATATTTATATATATATAAAATATTTAAATAAATTTTATATTATCATTTAGAAAATATGTTTTTTATTTAAATTAAATCACTGTTTATATGATGACAGTTATCTAGCATTACAAACATATATACACTTTATTTATTTTTTGGTTTAGTTTTATTATCAATATTATTAATATTTATAAATATATATAAATATATATATATATATATATATATATATATATATATATATATATATATATATATATATATATATATATATATTATTTAGTAAAACATCAAAATGTATTTTTGTAATATTAGTGAAAATAATTTTTTTTTCGTATAGTTTTATTAGTAATAATTATTCATTAAGTATAGTAATAATTAATTGATAATAATAATAATAATAATAATAGTTAAAAATATTAGTTAAAATTATATTGAATTTATAAAGTTTTTTTTTTAAAAATCATTATTAATGTAGTATTTTTAATAACAATAATTATAGTTAAAAATATTATTTAAAATTATATTGAATTTGTGAAGTTTTTTTTAAAAAAATCATTATTATCGTAGTTTTTCTTAATAAATAATAATAATAATAATATAATAATAATATAATAATAATTGTGTGAAATATTTAATACTTAATGTACTATAATTAAAAAATATTAATTATTTAATTAATTTTATTTATTGTTTGTTTCCATACATTTTTAAATGTAATGCACTTTATATCACTTTTATAATAATAATAATAATAATAATCAATATTATATAACTTTATTTGATAAATACTATTACATAAATAACTATATATATATAATAAAAACAACTCAATATATATTTTATCAATTAATACGATTATCTTTAAACTATATATATATATATATATATATAACTGTATAATATATCTAAATAAGAAATGTTTTATAAAAAAATTATGTCAAAAAATATTGATATCAATTAAATTAAAGATAAATTATTTGTTAATACACGTCAACTTAGTTAAAAAATTAATTAATTAAAAATATTTATAAAAATTTTTGACATTTTTTTTGTAAATGCTTTAAATATTTATTTATAAAATTAGTTTATAAAATAGTTTCAATAATATTTTTTATCAACAAGATAAGTTATTTTTTAAAAAAAATTATTTTATTTTAATTTTAAAAACAAATATTTGTTATTTATTATTATAATTATTATTTTTTTGTATAAACAGGTGTATAAATGTTAATAATATTACAAACAATTTGAAAATATTTGTACACTTAATATATACTTCACAATAACAATATATGAATATCACTTAATATATAACAAATATATATATATATCAGTGATAGTAGTAATAATAATAATAATTAATATAAATTTAGTACAATTTATAACATATATCTCAAAATAATAATAATAATAATAATAATAATAATAATAATAATAAAAATTTTCCTATAAAAACTTAATTAGATAATAGGTATTAATTGATTAATTATTTATCAATAAATATATACTGTATATCAAAGAAATACCTATTTATTTATCTAATAAATAACAGTATAAATAGTCAATGAAAAATATGTTTCAAATATTAAATTAAATTAATTTTTTTGATGAAATAATAATAACGAAAAAAATCATGTTTTCATTGCAAACTGTAATATCTTTATTATTATTATTAGTATTATTAGTTAATTCATGTTTTAGTGAAAACTTGAACAACCGTTTGGACTGTTGGTTAGAAAGTAAGTCATATTTTTTTAATAAAAAAATAAATAATTATAAATAATTATAATTAATTAAAATTCATAAAAAAACAAATTATTAAAAAATATTTTACATTAGATCTCTCTCTCTCTCTCTCTCTCTCTCTCTCTCTCTCTCTCTCTCTCTCTCTCTCTCTCTCTCTCTCTCTCTCTCTCTCTCTCTCTCTCACTCTCTGTCTTAACTTTAAAACAATTATTTTAAAAAATATTTATTTAAATAAAAAAATTAATACTTTATGTCTAAAAACTATTGACTCTATTATAGTATATTAACAATTAATAATATATTTTATTATACTCTATATAAAAATATATAGATGGCTATCAAATAGATGAACAATCATGTTTAGCCAGGGGGTGTATATGGGATCGTACACCACGTCCACAGGGTGTCCCAATATGTTATTTAGATACAGGGAAAGTGGGGTACAAAGTGGTCGGACCGGTACGCAAATCGGACTCGGGTTTAGAGGCCGATCTCGCCTTGAAATCGACGGCCACTAAAACACTGCAATCGCCGTCCATAGAGTCGTTGAAATTTCAGGCACGCTATCTAACCGATCGTATCATCCGGTTTACGCTCAGGGATGCAAAAAATCCTCATCGATATGAAGTACCCATACAATCGACATTTAATTTATTGGATAGTCTAGAAACTGATGAACAAAAACGTCAATATTTATTGAATGTTAGCTCAAATTTAAATGATTTTCAATTTACTATTCAACGTAAAGATAATCAAAATAATGTGTAAGTATTTTAAAGTTTTTTTTAAAAAAATAATTTTCATAATTAAAATTTAAATAAAAAAATGTTTTGATAACTGATTACTTATCTAGCTAAATTAAACTAATACATTAATTATAAATTTATTAAATAATTAGTTTATTATTAGTTTACAGTTTTTTAAAAAACTTTTTTTTTTATTAATTGAATTATTGCTAATAATGTTTTAATAATAATATAAGTATTTATTTTATTGTTGTTATTTAGACAAATAATTTTATATTTTTTAATAATTTAAATTTATATCTAATACAGTAATAATATACTTATAGAAATAACTATTTATAAACATTTAATTTTAACTATAATAATAATTATTATTTTACACATTATATTTATTATTTATTATTATAAAACTGTAAACTATTAATTAATTTTTAATTAATTAATAGCTTATTATAGATAATAAATACTAACTAATTAATAGTTAGAACATGTATTCAAAAAAAAATTTTTATATAAATAATTTTTTTCTATTATAAAATATTATTTAATTAATTAGTTTTTTATAAATAATTTTTTTCTATTATAAAAAATTATTTAAATTAATTAGTTTTTTTATAAATATTTTTTTCTATTATAAAATATTATTTAAATTAATTAGTTTTTTAAAAAAATTATTTTTTCCCATTTATTTATTTTTTCAGTTTCGACACATCAATCGGCGGACTAGTCTATTCCGACCAATTCATCCAATTGGCCACCCGATTGGCCACCCGTACAGTCTATGGGTTCGGCGAAAATGTTCACCAGACCCTACAGCATGACCTCAACTACCGTACTTGGCCGATGTTTGCCCGGGATGTACCACCCGGTGATAACGAGCATAACCTGTACGGTGTTCATCCGTTTTATACGGTACT